CATCCTCCTCATCCTCCTCATCATCATAATCATCATCAACATCATTAGCTCCATCACCACCCTCCTCTTCCTCCCCTCCTCCTCCATCCATTCTCCTTATCAATAACTCCTGCCTGTCGCGCACCCAGAGGCGTTGGTAGAGCGGACTGGGCGTTTTCTCTGATACCACCTCACCGGGTGTGATCCTGAATCTTGCAATTTGCACCGCTCCACACATGCACGGCGGGTGATTCTCAAAAAAGTGGTGTTCGCCTCTGCGCCGCGAGCAATCGTCTAAAGTCCAGCAGCAGCCACGGATGGAGGGCGGGCCGCTTCCAGCGTGTGGCTTTTGCCTGAAAAGCCGCGCGCCTCTGTCGTGAGAGGCTGCCACAGCTTCACGGACGGAGGGCGGGCCCCTTCCAACATGTCGCTCTCGCGTTAGTGCTGCGCACACGTGCCTTCTGCAGCAACTTCACGGAGGGCGGTCGGCTCCTCTTCAACATGTGACTCTCGCTTCGGCACCGCGCACATCCCAGGAACGGTTTCTAGCACGGTTTGGGACTACCAGGGCGCAGCCGTCACTCCGATTCGCTGTTTCGCAACTTCAGGATCGGTATTATGGCACGATTGAGGAATGTCAGGGCGTAGCAATCATGTTGACTCGCGGCGCTGATGCCACAGGACTGATGGTTGGGCACATTTGGTGATACTCAAATGGTTGTCCTCGAAAGGGGCACTTCCCGCAATGAAATAAATTCTTGTAGGGCCCGATTTATGAATAGGACAATTGGAAAGAGGGTGTGTTGCAGCATCATTGGTGCATCTTGGGGGGCACACTCCACCTCCGCTTCCTCTTCCTACTCCCCCTCCTACTCCTACTCCTCCGTCTCTCCCTCTCCACCGTCTCCTCGTTCCCACCCATCCAAATACTCTCCCACCGATCCTCGTTCTTCTCCTGTTCCTTCTCTACCTACACCGCCCATCTACCCTTCAACTTCCCTGCCATGCCCTCCATTTCGTCTTCCCATCCGCATTCTCTTCTCCCTCTGGCACCATCTCCTCCTCCGCCCCGTTTTCCCCTGGATGTGATCTTCATGCTTGCCTCCTCCTCCTCTTCCTCCTCTCCCTCCACTCGGGCACCCGCTAAAGCATGGACTGGGGATCCGTGGATCTGGCCCGCAAGCGCCAGAATCGGGGAAGGGGCCTCCGAAACGTGAGGCCAGTGCAACCTGATTTGACGATGGAACGCGCCGACCCCGTGTGGAAGCGGGACCCGCCGCTACCCGACGCGCCTCTATCCATGAGTGCGCTTCCTCGCTCCAAATCGTCGTCGTCGTCGTCGTCCTCCGCCTCCTCCTCAGGTCCTCCTGCAGCCCCGCTTCCCCCCTGCCCCCTCCCGTTCCACATAACTCTTCCGCCGAATCATCCTGCTCACCTCTCCCCTGCTTTCCTTTTCGCCGGCGGCCGTGCGCTCGGAGCCTGCGCGCGCTACCCGCGAGGAACGCCGAGCGGGGGGCGGCGCAATTGCAAGGCGCAGACGGCGTCGGGAGGAGGGCGGAGGGTGGGGAAGAGCGGAATAGGGGGACCCATACCTCCTCGCGCTGCGACGGGAGAAAGGGGTCGAGACCTCCGGGAGTCCACGCTGCGAGGAAAAAACACGACGTCGGGAGTCTGGGGAGGGCGAGGAGGTCGGGTGGAGGAGGGAGAGGAGGAGGGGCACCAATGCAGACCCAAGGAGCCACAGAGATGCTGCAAGAACTCCTCCTCCGAGCTTCCTCTTCACACGCTTCCTCTTCCTTGCGGGTATCGCCCCATCGGAAAACAACCGCCTGACAACCCCCAGTCTTGTCAACACGCCATGACAGGGACTCCAGCGCCGCAAATCAACCTGACTGTTGCCTCCTGACAACCCTAACTCGTGCCAGGACACCATGCCTGGAACTTCAACCATACGAACCTTGGGAACTGCTACCGCTTGAACACGAATGTACACGAAACTACGGCGAGCGCAGGAGCCGCCCTACATCCTTGAAGCTGCTGAAAACTTGCAAGACGAATGCGCGCGGCGCTGAAACGCGAGAGCAAACTTTCGAAAAAGGCCAATCCTACATCCTTGAAGCTACTGCCGATTTGAGAACCGAATGTGCGAGGCGCTGATGCGAGAACCATATGTTGAAAACCACCCGCCCTCCATCCGTAACGCTGCTGCAGCAAATAAAGGCGAATGCTCAAGATGCTAAGGTGATAATCACAATTTGAAAAACGCCCCGTCCTGCACCCATGAGACTGTTGCAGACTTCTGCAGAAAAGAACACGCGAGGCACGAACACACCCTCCAACCGTGATGCTGCTGCAAAGTTCAAGCTCCAGACACGTTCAGCCTGTTCTACGAACACATCTGGGGGTGCCACAGGGAGGACTTATTTATTCGTAGAAAGGGATGGAGGGGCAGGCGGAGGGGCTTCTGGAATATCCCTGCTCCACTCCCATGATAACGGTCCTCCTCCTGCTCCCTCTAGGGAGGGCAGGAGTGACGGTGATGGCGGGGGCATGGGGGGGGGAGTGGGGGGGCGGGGAGATACGGACAGGGGAACAATGAGTGGGCGGGGGGGGACAATCAGGATGTGCGAGTTCCTGGCTCTCCCACGAATCGCCTGGGGGGATGATGGGGGGAAGGAGAAGGAGAAGGGCGAGCAGGGGGAGGAACGGGGAAGGGGGCAAGAAGAGGGGCAACCCAAGAGGGGGCGGGCATGGAGGGGGGGGGGCGACTCCAAATCCGCCACCGTGCCGCTGGGCACGGATTGGGCGTGACCTCAAATCTTTTGCCAAATCCCTTAAGAAATCCGGGGGATCTTCAGAAAAGCCCAGACACAAAATTCCGACATGTCTTGGGGCTTCCCGCGTGTCCCCTGGGCACGGGCGCATCTTGTCGCGTGAATTGTTCGGGCCCACGAGGTCCTCAAGGCCGGCCCAGAGAGCCCCACGAGGCCCACAAGACGGTCCAAGAGGGCCCCGAGTCGCCAAAAGATCGCTCCATGACGCCCAAGACGGTCTCAATATGGCCCAAGAGACTTAAGACGCCCCAAGAGGCCTCCCAAGAGGGCCTCACGAGTCAACCATTATTGAATGTCCTTGGGTGTTTGAAAGAGTCTAGCGCTCTCGCCTTTTATGTGCTCTTCCTGGCGCTCCAAGACGGCCCAAGAGGCCCCCAAGACCCCCCCAAGACGACCCTCGAGGCCTCCAAGAGGGCTCTAAGACGAAATCAGTGCGCCCCGAGACAGCCCAAGAGGCATCCCAGACAGCCCACGATGGCCCCAAGACGGCCTCAAAATGGGCCCGAGAGAGGGAGCACGAACCAAAATTTCGAGCCTTCCACCCCAAGAGGTCCCCAGGAGGCCCCCAGGGGCGCCCGAGAGGCTTTCAAAAAGCTCAAAGGAAGCCTCAAGGGGCCCCCAGGAGGCCCAAAAGAGGCCCCAAGAGGCTCCCAAACGGTTCCGAAGAGGTCCAACACTTGCATCCAAGAGGTCCCCGAGAGGCCCCCCACGAGATCCCAACGAACATCCAATAGGCTTCGTACCCACAACCATCGCACATGGTGGCGGGATGGGCCGACGGCCATTCGATATCTTCACCTTTGCCCGTGGCTCCTCCTGGTTAATTGCCTCCTGTGCCTGCAACCTGCCCTCTGTCCTGCCTCCGTCCTCGTCTTGTTCCTCCTCCTCCTCCTCCTCCTCTCCTCCTACTCCCCCTTATCCTCCCCCATTTCTTCATCATCGCCGCCCTCGTACCCCTTCTACTGCGATTGCTGCTGCTTCTCCTCCTCCTCCTGCCCCTCGGCCTCCCCCTTGTCCTCCTCCCTACCTCCTGGCCATTCCCCCCCCCCCTCCCCCTCCGAGAGCGCCCTCCCTCTCCTCCATTTCCTGCCACCTCGTTCCCGTCGCGCTCCTCGCTCTCGCCTCCATCTCATCCCCCTTCTCCTCTTCCCCTCCCTCTTCCGCCTATTCCTCTTTCTGCTCCTCCTCCTCCTCCTCCATTCCTTCTCCTTATAGATAACTCCTCCTGTCGCACCCTGAAGCCTAAAAAGTGACAACAGCTTCACAGATGGAGGGCGGATCGTTTTCTAAATGTGGCTCTCTCCTGAGCGCCGCGCACATTCGTTTTAACAATTTACAAACGTTTCACATATTGAGGGCGGGTGGTTTTCAAAATGTGGTTCTCGCCTTAGCGCCGCGCACATTCGTTGTAACAATTTGCAAGAGCTCCACGGATTGAGGGCGAGTGGTTTTCAAAATGTGGCTCTCGCCTTGGCGCCGCGTACAGTCGTTTTAACAATTTGCAAGATCTTCACGGGTTTAGGGCGGTTTCAAAATGTGGCTCTCGCCTTAGCACTGCGTGCATTCGTTTTTTAAACTTGCAAGATCTTCGCATATTAACGGCGGCTCCTTCTCAAAATTTGACTCTCGCCTCAGCGCCGCGCACATTCGTGTTCCAAAATTGCAAGAGTTTCACGGGTCCCCACGATCAACGTGCCAGAAATTGTGTTTTGAACGGGTTCAGGATTATGCGGGTGCAACAGCTATGTTGAGTCGCAGTGTTGCAGTCCCACAAATGGCGCTCTGGCACGACTCCGGATCGTCAAGACGCAGCAATCAGGTTGATACGTGGCGTTGGCCTCCAGAAAATAAGGTTTTGTATGCTTCAGGATCTTCAAACGGTTGTCTTCCAACGAGGCAGTTCCCTCAATGGAAATGAACAGGTGTGGGGGCCTGTGAAGATGGAGCTTGGAGGGAGGGTTTCTTCCAACATCGTTGATGACTCTTGGTTTTACGCTGGTCCTCCTCCTCCTCCTCCTCCTCCTCAACAACATCCCAACCCACTTGTTCGTCTAACCCCCGTCCTTCCCATTATGCCTCCAAACCTCCTTCTCCTCCCCCTTCCTTCCCGTCCACCTCGCAAGCACCAGCCTTCCTCCTACCTCTATACCTTTCTCATCATCAGTCGTCCCCGTGCCTCTTCCTTACACTTAACCGTGGACATATCCAGGAGTCTACACATATGACAGCTAAACTCAGGATCGCTGGATTCGATCTGCACAGATATGCAGTCCCCTTGAACACTTCGCCATCCACAGCCTGATTTAGTTTAATGCCCTCCACCCCAGAATGGTGAGTTTTCGCCTGGTTCTGAGTCAGGCACCATTGCGCTGGCCATCCCAGGAGCCAGCGAAAATGGCGACGGTCTCGCAGATCGCAGCCCCCCAGGGACGGTGAGGACTAGTTTGGGTCTGTGTATGGCAATACTGCGCTGGCCCTGGCCCTCCCAGGAGCCAACAGAAGGGGCGACAGCTTCGCAGATCGCAGCCCCTCAAGGACGGCGAGGCCTCACTACTGCGCTGGCCCTCCCAGGAGCCCCAGAAAGTGGCGACAGATTCGCAGATCGCAGCTCCCCAGGGACGGCGAGGTCTAGTCAGAGTCTGCGTGAGGCACGATTGCCCTGCCCCCCCCCTCCCCCCCCCCCCAGGAGCCAGGAAAGTGGTGACAGTCTCGCAGATCGCAGCCGCCCAAGCGGCGACGAGATCCAGTCTGGGTCCGCGTGCGGCATCACTGCGCTGGCCCTCTCAGGGGCCAACGAAGATGGCGACGGCCTCGGAGATCGCATCGCTCGAGGGGCGGCGAGGCCTAGCCTGGGTCCTCTTGCACCGCTGCGCTGGCCTCCCAGGAGCCCTCGAAAGTGGCGACAATCTCGCGTGTCGCAGACGCCCCCCAGGGACGCGGCGGTCTTGTCTGGGTCCGCGTAAGGCACCACTGCGCTGCCCCTCCCAGGAGCCACCGGAAATGGCGACAGCTTCGCAGATCGATGGCTGGCCGTTTTCAACATGCGCCTCTCACTTTAGCGCGGGACGCATTCGTCTTGAAGGCTTCCCACAGTCGCACGGGTGGAGGGCCAGTTGCTTTCATCTTGTGGTTCCTACCTTCGCGCCACGCGCGATCGTCATGAACTCTTCCAGCAACTACAATGGTGGAGGGCCGGTGGGTGTCACAAAATGCTGCGCTTGCCTGAGACAGCCTCAACCACATGATCATCGCAAACCTCAAGTTGCACAGCAGTCGCACGAAGGGATGGCGGCTCCATCTCATGTAGCAGCTACATGGGCTCAAGGCGTTCCTTTTTCAAAGCGGGGCTGTCGCATTCCTGGTGGCTTGAAGGATGATTGGCGGTTCCGCTCGATGCAAAGCTCCCGACTGAATTGCGGGCCCATGGGGCACTCGCCCTTCAAGGGGGGCACTTGGTGCAGTGAGTGAGGGGGCTCGGGACAGGAGGGTGTGCTGAGGAGGGGACAGATGAGGAAGGAACGACTGAGCGGGGTGGACTGCAGCTTCGAATATACATCCTGGGGTTACTCCGGGCCTTCTCCTCCTCCTCCTCCTCATCATCATCACCCCTTAGAAGCGATGGGGAGGGAAGAGGACATTGACGACGAGAGCGACAAACGACGGACAACGGCGACGAGAACGGCCAAAATGGCGGCGACGACGACAATGATGACGACCGAAAGTTGCTGGAAATCAGATCCTGGACCCTGGAGTGCTTCCTGGCCAGTCTTTCGTCCTGGAACGGTTTCTTACGATTCCAGGGCCCGATATGGGCCCTCAGACACAGGAAACTCTGAAACAACCTCTTCGAACCTCGACGGCCGATGACGACGATGGCGTCGACGAGGAGGACGACCTTCCTGTCAGAAAGCTGCCCTAGAACCTCTCCTGCGGCATACTTGCCCAGAGCGACGGGTGCGGTATCAAGTCGTGGCAGGGCGCCACAATCTCGTGAGGGGGAGCGCTAGGGGCGGACTGGCTCCTGGGGGGGAGGGGAACATCGACCCAGAATCGGCGGTACATCGCTGACAGATGTAGGACAGGCCCCCGGCAGCGGCGGGGCAGGCCACAGGGCCCCTAGGGGCGATCGGTGAGCGAGCGGGGGTCCGTGCGTCCCGCCCTGAGCCCACCCCATCAGGCCTCCGGCCTCGACCCACGAGCGGCAACGGCGACGAGGAAATCGAGGGCGACGCGAGAGGCGGCCGCGCGCCGCCCGGGCGGCGGAGCCCCGCGAGCGCGCGCCAACCGCGGCACACGCGACCGCGAGCTCTACGCGTCTCCCACCGTGGCGGGCCCGGCGGCGGCGGTGCAACAAAATTGTGAAGAAATCGGGCAGCGTCCTCGCCGTCGTCGTCCTCCTCCTCGTCGGCATCCACCCTTCCGTTGTCGTCCTCGTGGTCATTTTCTTGGTGTGCCTAAGCCCCTCTTCGTCGTGGTCTACTGTCCCTCCCCCTTCCTCCGCTTCCCCACAACTTCTCGTCCTCTCGCTCCTCCGCCTCCTCCTCCTGCTCCTCTGCCTCATCCTCTTCCTCCTACTCCTACAGTAGGAGTAGGAGGAAGAGGATGAGGCAGCTCCTCAACCCTTTCCTCCCTCCTGCTGCTGCACATCCTCCTCCTCCTCCTCCTCCTCCTCATCATCATCATCATCATGATCATCCAAACATTGCCAGACCCCTCATCATCACCATCATCATCACCATCATCATCACCATCATCATCATCATCATCACCATCATCATCATCATCATCATCACCATCATCATCATCATCTTCATCACCATCACCATCATCATCTTCATCACCATCATCATCATCATCAACATCAACATCAACATCATCATCAACATCACCATCAACATCAACACCATCAACATCAACATCAACATCAACATCAACATCAACATCGTCATCAACATCATCATCATCATCCGCATCTCCCTCCCCCTCCTTCCTCCTCCTCCGCCCTCCGCCCTGCGACCTCTTTTCCTCGCCCCCCCCTCCAAGTCCTTCCCCCTTCTTTCCCCCCATTCCACCCCCCTCCTCGCCCACCCGCTTCCCAGAGGACAGGACAACCTCGAGGTCGACAAAAACTCCATCCTCCCTCTTCCCCCCCATTCGATTCCCCGCCCCCCCTGTACGGAGCGGAAATAACACACACGTTTTAACTTAAAATGTTTCAATGGCTCCTCGTTTGGATCCGCTCCCAGATGGCTTGATCCGAATCTGATTCACCGACGCCTCGCCCATCGCCGCCAGGGGTTGCACAGCCTATGCTTTCGCTTGGGCGGGGAGGCGGGGTGGGGCAAAAGCTGTCTCAGTTTCTAGGCCCTGAAAACTTTTCCTGGGCGATGGCCATGACGATTTGTTTCGCGGCCTGTTTCTTCGGGGGGCCTCTAACTTTGTTGTTCGGCGGTCTGGCCATGTACACTTGTTGGGGGCCATGCCCCAAGGGCCCCAAGGGCGATTCCTGGCCAGGGCCGGGCGGGGGCAACGCCCTGGGAAAGACCGCGGGGATGCCCTGCGCTCGTCGCCCGCGGGTCTTCGGGCCAAGCTCCACTCCCTGGAGCGCGAGCGGCAGATCGCTTCGGAGGCCGAGTAGAAGGCCGCGCCGAAGGCAGGCGGAGCGAAGCGGGGCGGGGCAGGGCGAAGGCTTCTCTCTGATTCCCAACAACCTACCTCTGTGTGATTTTTCCGGCCCCGGCGCTGGACGAGCGGGCCCCCCTCCACAGCCGTCCCTCGCAGTCGACGACGGCAGCGACGGACGCGACCATCCACGCGCAGGGCGTCCCTCAGGCGACCCCCCCGAGCCGCCCTGCGTGGTCTCTCTCCCTCCGCGGCGCCCTGGGGGGGCCGCCCCGAGGGCCGGCGGGGCCTTTTCTAGAAAAAGCGCGCGCCAAGGGCGGCCCGCACCAACATGGGGCGGGCTCGCGGCGCGCGGCGCGCAGAGGCACTCTGCGAAAGATGGGGGCAGGGAGGGAGGTGGAGGCCAAGAAGGAAGGACTCCAGACTCAGGAATCAGATCTCCGCGAAACGACCCCATGCGTGAATCGAAGCAGGAAATATGCACAGCGGAAGGGAGGGAGGAGGAGGAGGAGGAGGAGGAGGAGGAGGAGGAGGAGGAGGAGGGCTCGAGGGCTCGAGGCAGAGCGCGCGCGCCCGCCGAGACGAGCACGCGGCGGTGGGCAGGCAGGGCGCCTGCGGTCTTGAAAGGGAGGACGCCGAAGAGGCCGCGCACGCCCAGGTAGAGGAAGCCCAGCATCACGAAGCACGCGGGGCCCACGACGCCGGCGAGGCCATAGCCGTGGGTGCAACTCGTGTGCACAAACCCGCCACCGACGATGAAGATGTCGATGACCCACTACACCTTCAGCAAACAGTGGCGTCTGATGTCTGAATGTTCCCCAATAGTGGGCTTCCTCGGGAATTGCAGCAAAAACATGGCGACGCGGCCCCGAAGCGTTCCCCACGAGGGGCTTCGTCGGGACTCGCGTTCTGACGGGCCAACCTGACATAGCCAATACCCCAGGACTCTTGGGTGAAAGCCGCAGGGCCGCACGCGACCCCAAGCTTCATCGCTTCCGACGACTGGGTGGGCCAACCACAAGTACAAAAGGCCTGACGAGTAGAAACATGAAGCCGTGTCGCATACCGAACATGGCACCAACTAGCTTGAGTGAAATTGGCCAGGCCGTACGAGACACAGCCCGCACGCCAACCACGGAAATAATGAACCCACCACTGCACACTACAATGGTTCATTGGATTTGGGACGGCTTGCTGCCATTAGCCACCTGAGGCGCCACTGCGAATTAGACGCGCAGGCTGAAGCCTGCCCTTCGCCGCTAGGGAAACCCGAAGAGGGGAAGGGAGGAGGAGGAAGGGGGTGGGGAGGGGGAGGAGGACGGAGGAGGACGGAGGATGGTGGATGGCATATGGAGGATGGAGAAGGGAGGAGGAGGAGGAGGAAGTGGAGCGAGGAGGGTGGCAAATGTTGGACGGAGGAAAACGGTGAGGGAAAGAGGAGGGGGGATGAACAGGGGGAACGGATGGAGGGAAACATATTGACACATAGGAGGCGGAGAAAGAGAAGGAAGACTTGCAATGGACGGCAAAGGGAGGAGGAGGGAGAGGAGAAGGAGGAGGAAAAGGAGGAGGAGGAAGAGGAGGAGGAGGAGCGAACGTACCCTGAGGACGAGTCCCGAATCAACTAGGCCTGCATAGCGAGCGTAGCCGCCGTGGCAACCCGCGCTGCTGAAGTAGATGTGCGATGGGAGTGGCGGCGTGGTGTGTGCGTGTTCGTGTTCGTGTTCGTGTTCGTGTTCGTGTGCGTGTGCGCGCGCGCGCGCGCGTGTGTGTGTGTGTGTGTGTGTGTGTGTGTGTGTGTGTGTGTGTGTGTGTGTGTGTGTGTGTGTGTGTGTGTGTGTGTGTGTGTGTGCGTGTGCCTGGGGGTTGGGGGGTGGGGTGGGTGGGGGGGTGGGATCTGGTTGTTGCCCCCGTGGTGAAAGTGAAAAGCAAAGACCCTGGCCTCAAAGGCTTGGGCTCTCGAAATCTCCCATTTTTCCGATCCATCGTCCGAAAAGACACCCGGGGTCTAGCTAGAGAAGAGGGCCCGAGGGAACGACGAACCGCACCCACCACAAGACAACGTGGTTACGGAAACGGTGGCAAAAGAAGCCCTGGGGAACCGAATCCGATCCGCCGCGCCCAAAAGACGCAATCACGTGCGTGGCGAGAAGCGTGCATAAGCGAACTCGTCATCCAACCTCCGCAGAGACTCTTGGCGCACGCCCACCTCCAGGTGGGTCTGACATGGGTCCAGCATTCGCGGGCCAAGGGCAAGCGAGCTGCGAGGTTGGGCGGGGCAGTGCGCCCCCAAACTCTGAGGTGGCGGCCGACGGCGCAATGGAGCTTGCCAGTGCGCACCGACTGGCCGAGCGACTGACCGAAAACCTTTCTGGATATTACCACTGACCGAAAACCCTCTGCACCACGGCCAATGTCGCCCACTGTTCGCTCCCAGCCCTCGCTCTCTCCCACGCGCCGAAGGGAACGGGAAGGGAAGTGCGAAAAGAAGGGGGGGCACGGCAGAGGAAAAGGACATGAGGGGTGGCGTGAACAAGCCCATGGTCTATTTGAACGGTGGCCTGGGGATGCTTTCAGCAAGGGGCGCGCCGTTCGCCCGCCGCGCATCGGGGCGCAGGGAGAGGGGCGGTGCCGCAGTCCTGGCGCGCGGCGCTCTCGAGGAGATCGCAAGCGGCGCGCCATTCGGGGGCGGCGCAGTCCGCCGTCCACCAAGCAGAAAAGACGCCGTTGACAGCGAGAGAATCGGGAGCGAGCCCAATCCACGGGAAAGAAAGGAGATCAGCACAGTCGAAATTGTTAGGCGGGAGACCAAGCATCTTGCGACTCGCGGGGGGGCCCGCGACGCAGGGCAAGAGGCGACGTCGGGGGGAATGGGCTCAGGTACCCGCGCGCGCTGACTGCGTGCATCTGGAACTGATGCATTATAATAAGGAACCAGCAGCACGGGCGGATGGAAGCTCGACCGCGCGCTGCTACCATTTCTGAAATGCATCCTGCCACTGCTGAAGGGCCCCACCCCCAGCTCCGAACTGCGCCCCCAGACGCGCAGTGACAGGCTGCGCGTCAAGGGTACGCACAGGCAGGGGCTTCGGATGCAAGTCGTGAGTGGACGCGGCGAACGGCGACTCCAGAGCAACCGGGCCTGAGCGGGACGATGCAGCATATGGATGGCTGAAGTCTGCGGTGCGCAGGTTGCTCGATGTTCGCGCAATGCGGGGCCATGGCAGAGAGTGTGCTGAGCTGTGGGAGGAGCGCGCCAATGTCGTCAGCGCGCCCCCCGAACTCTTCGAAGGTGCCACCGACGGGTGGGCGTCCACCAACGGCCGAAAGCAACCCCGCAACAGGGTCGAACATCAACGCCCAAACATGGCCTAACAGGGGGCAATCCTGGAGAACAGCGCTACAGCTGTAGAACATGAGTTGGGGTTGGCCCTGGGAGAGAAGCAAAGCGAATGAAGGGGGGTGAGATACCGCTGAGGCAGCCCCTGGCGACGAAGAGTCTCGAAAAGCCAGCGGCGCGCCACCGACGGGAAAGCGGCGGCGGCATGAAGCACGGCATGTTGGCGCCCCCCCTGCGGGCCGATGCCGGGGGCACGGGCAGCTGCGCCAGCGTGGACTACGTTTGCGAATGAGATTCCTGCTCGCGACGAAGCAGAGCTGAACGCTAGAAACGCTGGCAGTGATCTGATAATCGACGTCGCGAAGGGACAGAGGTCGGACCTTGCTCGGCTGTCGCGCGCAGCCATGCGCATTTGACGGCGCGGCCCCCTTCGGCAGGAAGGCTAAGACCTCATCGTTGGGGCCTAGCGGGACAGGGGCACCTCTGAACAGCGCGAGCGCCAAGTCGCGCAGAGTGTCGAGCTGAATGGGGAGGGCTGCCCAGGCAGGGTAGGTTAATCCATCGGGGCCAGCGTCGGAGCGACGGGCGCGGCGGAGACCCTGCTCGAGGTCAGCGCGAGTCGGAGTGGCAAGACTGGCAAGTTCGGGCCCACCCACGCAGATTCCACGGAGCAAAAGCCCGTCAATATACTGCAGGAGCCTGTCAGGCTCGACGCGTCTGGCTTTATGCACTTCACCCCAGCGGTCCGAAACGGCATCGCGGACATCTTCGGCCGAGCGCGCGATGAGAGCCTCGTTGCCTGGAGCCCCAGCGGCGGCTGCGGGTGGGATTCCCTGGGGGACAGGTGCGCCGCCGCGCGGCCTCCAGAGCTTGGCGCGCTTCTGGGGGGCTCTCTGTTGGCTGCGGTGGCCGCCAGATGCGCGCCGTCGGCTTGCGCTCGTCGAGCCAGCGCAGCAGTGCGAGATTGGCGCCGGGCGGCCGCCGCCGGGCCAATCTCACGAAACACGGTTCGAAAGGCATCGGGCTCGAAGAGGGAGGGAGAGAGAGGAAGCCGAAAGGGAAAGGAATCAAGCACCGAGTTTAGCGGCGGCCTGGGCGGCGACTCCAGCTCTCATGTCCTGCCTCCACGCAGCTCTGGCGATGGCGCGAAAGGCGACGAGGCGGGCGTCGGCGGCATTCGGGTCGCAAGAGGCGAGGGGGGGCCTCTGCGGCCCGTTGCGAGTCTCCCTTGCCGCTTCCCACATATATGACCCCAAATGTGTCCAGCGCAGGTCGGCGGGCACATGGGGGGGCCCTAGCAGCGCGGATGAGAGCTGCGAGCTTGTGGCGATGTCGGAAATCTGTAAACGCGAGATCGGGGATGCGAAATCAACCTTCCGCCCCGCAGCCGCGATTTTGAACAAAAAACCAAGGCAACGCGCGGCCGCTCAAACGGGCCCCAGGCAACTGGCATGGGTCGGCATGGACTTCCACCGCTGCATCAACTTCGAGCAGGAATTCCGCGGGGGTGCCCGGGAACACGCGACCCATCGCAACAGCGATGACATGCCGGCGGTCAAAACGCGCGGGTAGGTCCACAGATCTCGGTGGCAGCCTGCATAAGCGGGCGCCGGAAGCGAGAGAGCGGTGGCGCATGCATGCCCAAAACAAGTCTGGCAGCGGAAGGCTCAGGATTCTCGTAGCTGGTCGGGGCGGCGCCCGCGACATGAGGTCGCCGAGAGAGAGACAAAGCTGTTCATGAGAGGGTCCGAGCGGCACCAGTCCAGGAGCTGGCGCCACCGGGGTCGGGTGGCAGGAAGGAATTCACGCGGGAGATCGTAGTTGTGAGCGTTCACGATGGCCATGGAACACTGCGAGCACGGATGAGTGACTTGGAATAGCGGAACACGGCCAGGGACGATAACCTCATTGGTGAGAAGGGGGCGCTCAGCAGAGGGAGGCAGACCGCGCTCGAACGCCTTGGAGACCCATGGCAATAGGATAGCGACACCACCAGCACCGGGCCTGTCGGTCGCGGAGTGGAAGATCTTGTAGTGGGAGGGCGTGCCAGCGAGGAGGACCTGGAGCTGGTCCGCGT